GCTAGGGCAAACAGCGTCACTGATATAGTGCACCCAGTGATGATGCCTTTTTCTAGACGGTGCCATGCTGATGTTATAGATCCAGATGTGAATCTCATACTAAAACTACTGTAATAGTCCTTTATGAGATCTGTGATCTTCTGCGGAACATGGTGCATCGTCAAGGCTTTTGTCACCAGCTTGTGGGGAATTCTATTAAAAAGAAATGTCTTAAGTCCTTTTTTAAAATTTTCAATAGTCTGTGGGGCCCTCAAATGGTGTGGGAGGGTGTTCCATAGACGCGGGGCGGCAGAACAGAAGGCCCGATCACCCATGGTGCTAAGTTTGGTCCTGGGAAGTAGGAGACTATTTGCATTTGTAGATCGTTGAGACCGTGTTAAGGTTAGGGGAGTAAGTAGTTCTTTTAAGTAAAGGGGGGCATTTCCATGTATGCATTGGTGAGTGATAAGGGAAACCTTGTATTCAATCCTTGCAGAAACGGGAAGCCAGTGCAGTGATTGAAGAATGGGTGTAATGTGTTCATATTTTCGAACTCTCATCGAAATCCTTGCTGCACTGTTCTGTATGTATTGGAGTCTTTGAAGATGTTTGTTGGGCATTCCAATGAGAAGTGCATTGCAGTAGTCGATTCTGGAGGTGTCGGGTAGGGTAGCACCGCTACACTGACGTAGGAGTTTACTACTGGTAGAGGCGGTCAATATGGACAAGATTCCGGTCAGAGAATCTGGTTCCAGAGGGGATGACTTTAAAGGCAGAATTTATTGAATGGAACTTGTGAAGCAGGATGTATAATGGGTTAGAGAAACGAATAATAATGGTAAACCTGATATGTAGATGGATGTGTGTGTGGTCTGTGGAAATAAAACCAATACATTCAATCACATAGGTGATTTGTAGTTACAAGGTGGATTACACGTTATAAGCATAGCAGGAATAAAGCGCAATAGAAATCAACCTTGCTACATTAACAAACCTACCGGTTTAAATGTATACTTAGATAACCGGTAATTAATAATAATCGAAACATAAATAAATAGCGCCGCACAATGAAAATATAAGGCAGTTGTGGTCTTACAAACAATGTAAATGGAATCACGAAGTAGCAAAGGAAATTACAATACTTACGTTATATTCATTGACGCACAACATCGGATAATAAACTAAGTGCAGGTGCATTAACATCTCGCTACCGTTGTGCCAATCATTAATAACTGGGTGGGAAAGCTAACTAGATAACCCCGTTCCCACAGCAGCCTTTCTAACATAGCCGCCCCCAATTATCTGTTAGGATAATTGCACCGAAGAAGAAAGGCTGGCAGAAGTGCTCTCCTCCTCAGTGAGTTTAAGAAGCTGGACCAATCGGGCAACTGGACGGACATACGATTTGTCTCCGACCTTCACCGCTGCAGATCGAACCCGTCCATCTGCTCCAGTAAAGGTGTTGGTGATGGTGCCCACTGGCCAGTGGGCACGTGGCAACTGAGGATTGACTATGAGGACTACTTGACCCGTATTAATTGTTTTACCATCAACTCCCCACTTACCACGATTCTGCAGTCCTGGTAGATAGAATCGAATGAAGGCTGTCCAGAAGTTGTCTGCCAACACCTGGCTGTGTCTCCATCGCCTGTTACCTAGCATGTTATGTGAGACGTATAAGGCCTGAGGAAGTGCAGAATCTCGTCATCCCATGAGTAAGATGTTAGGCGTTATAGGGTTGAGGTCACCTGGGTCTGCAGAGAGGTAGCCTAAAGGTTTGGAGTTCAAGATGTTCTCAACTTCGAGGAGAACCGTCTGCAGAACAGGCTCTGGCAGTCTCTGTTCTCGAACAATCACCCTCAACGCCGACTTCACGGATCTCACTTCACGCTCCCATGTTCCCCCAAAATGTGGAGCAGCTGGAGGGCTGAACCTGAAGTGTATCTTCTGCTTAGCGAGACGATCCTTCAACTGAGGCTCCATCGGCTCGAAGGCCCTTTGCAGCTCATGGTTTCCACCGACAAAATTAGAACCAAGCAGCTCGAAGGGTTGACCTCTCCGTGCAATGAAGTGGCGCAGGGAGAGCAGGAAGGCATCAGAGTCAAGGCTTTCTAGGAGATCCAGGTGCACACATCGTGTGGTCATGCACTTGTATATAATCCCCCACCTCTTTTCTTGGCGACGCCCATACTTCACAGTGCAAGGGCCGAGGCAGTCAACACCGGTACTGTAAAATGGTGGTTTGTATAAGCGGAGCCTGCAAGGTGGAAGATCAGCCATCTTTGGTATCTCGGGCTTAGCCCGCCAGAACTGACATTCCCTACACGTGCACTGGAACCTGCGGATAGCTTCACGGCCTCAGGGCACCCAATACTGGCGAAGCAGCTCTGCCAATACGCGCTCAGGCCCAGGATGATGTAGCTTGGCATCAAATTCCTTAATCAGGAGTTTTGTGATGTGATGTCCTGCATCCAAGATAATGGGATGAATCACGTCTGCTTCTAGGTCTTCCGAACGACGGAGTCGACCTCCGACCCTGATTGATTCAGTAATATCATATTTTGGCGAGAGGCAGGTAAGACGGCTGTCTGCCGGTATGGGTTGCCTGGCCTTGAGAGCCTTCACTTCAACTGGGAAGGAATCTAGTTGGGCTTGTGTGAGCAGAAGCTTCTCAGCGGTTATGTAATCATTGGCGTCACGTGGTGGGGTGGTACTTGGATCGGCCGCCCCATGACAGGCTTTCACAGTATCCTGAAGTAGTTCCGTTCAGGAGTGATACTTATTAACATCAAGGGGGAATGGTGAAGAGGATACAGAAACTGTACCGATGAACG